TAAGCCTTGAGCTTCAATATTAGTCCGCAAATTCCACTTCTTTGACTTACCTATTATTTTCAAATTATATTCGCTAATGTCTAAACTTTCTCATTATTACTAATACTACTAACATTCTGAGCCTTTGGCTATTCATCGTGTTATCTTGAGTTAGTGTAGTGAACAAGAACACCAATGGGGGTCAGTCTGAAGTATTTGAGCACACCAATTACAGAGCATCTCAGTGAAATCTGAGAACCATATAGTAAATCGTTAATTTGCAAAATATCAATCCATCATATCAAACTTGACTGCTCCCGTTGCAAACATCAATCCATTGTCTCAGATTTCATTGTTCATGCGTTTTCATACCAATTTCGTCCCGGTCCCGTTCTTTCTTCATTGACCGTCTAACGAAACACATTCTATGCATAACTACCGTTATATACTACTAATGTGGATATAAGTAACCCACACCACATTAGTATGATCATTTAGACTAATGCTCTATGATAACTATTGTTCCCAGTGAAATTTCAAAAAGATATAGGCAATTAATTCTAAGACAAATTTTAACTCAATAATCAAAACTATGTACCATTCAATTGGGAATGGAACAAACAATATAATGCAGCGTACACTTACAAAAACTGAGCGCTTTCCAAATAACACCGTGATTTAAAAACGCTAAATAGAGATTTAGTTTAAATAAAGCAAGAAGAGTGGAATAACATGAGTTTATCATATTTCAACACTTTTCATTAGCTGTAAACGACCTAGATTTACACTAGTAATATTGTACAAACATTTTTATACTCCGAATTCGATGGGAGGTTGATTATGAATACAGTGGTCTTGAGTGCTGTTAGTGGTATGAGGGAGGTTATCATCTCCCAGTTGCCCATATCGTGGAAGGGTTCTTCTGGAAGTATCTGAAAAGGAAATTCAGTTAAAGATGGACTCAGTGACCTGAGAGCATAACCAAAGTGCCCAAACGACAACTGCTTGAGGTCGGTCACACACGACATTTTTGTGAGTAATTTTTTTGTTAGCTCCGTACTTGTTGAGACCTTACCGCAGGAGATGGATATCCATGGGATAAGGTGAGTTGTGTATTTTTAGGGTCGACCGTTCTAACTCTACGCCTCCTTGTGGAAAGGCAGCATCGCTGTTATGTTTGTTGTATGCTTGCAGTATGACTTCGCCTTCGGACTTTGGGCTTGCTGCTTTTAGTCTTACCGCATTAGATGAGGTTTAGTCCAAAACGATACAATAACCATACTTGACTCACAAATTAAGTTTGATGAGTATTTATATATTGAGGCTGGAGTTGTTACAAGGAGGTCAGATTTAATCGTCTAGCCTTACAATATGTAATAGAGAAATCCATCAATGAGAGAGTTTAATAATTCAGTAATGATGATTATCAAAGGGTAGCCATCATTTTTTGCCGACATTAATTAATTTCCAGTTAGATGCGTAACAATGGTATGGCCGAGAGCTGGAAGAGTCCGCTCTCCCTCTCGAAATTCTCACACGGCCACGCGTATACAGCCTCTGCCAGGGAAGTCCTACTCATCGCCTTCTAGCACCATGGGTGTTGTTTACGAAATTGAGAGGACGAAAAGCGAATGTCCGGTGCTTTAACCGGATCCCAAACCAAATCAATGATGCACATAGGCTCCAGTATCCTACGGGAACAAATGGCGTATGAACCAATCGTTGGTCACCGGCGACCACGGGACCGCATCTCCTTACGATGCTCCACTGCCTTGTGGATCAGACCTTCAGGTCAAAGGCTCGGGGAATGGCCCCCTAAGATAACCACCTGCTTCGGTCTGGGTATCCGAGCAGTATCACAGCCCACACACAAATATGATGAAATGTCGATAATTATGGAAAATACTTTTCTTGCTTCAACTATTAATCAAACGATTCACACTATTATTATTACTATTGTTATTATTTACTACGTCATTTATTCACTCTCTTTTATTCCCACTCTGTGTATACTTATTTTTCGACTTATACAGCAGCTCATCTATGGTGGAAATTCGGTTCTATCTAAACGTTCTCGAGTAGAGACGTTATCAGATATGGCTCAGAATAGAAGCCAGTGGCGATCCTGCTGTCACCTTTTACTTTCTTCATAAAAAGTGGTTGCTTCTTCCCTAACTGAAAAATCTCATCTGAGTGTACGTTTCTGTTTCCCCCATTATTATTATTATTACACTACCTTACACTAATCTGTTCGTTATCGTTTTTTTTTACGCTCCTTACCTTTTCTTTCCTTCTCTGCAAATTCTAATTGTTTTGTGTGGCGCATATATAGTTGGTGCCCCTCTTGTATCAATATTTATGTGTTTAAATAAATAATAAATGTATTCATCACAATAAAGTCTCAACATACAGTAGATCACATGAGTAATAAGGAGAAAGGTTGAAAATTCCTCAATAATTTAACTAATATTGAGAATCGAAGTGATAGTCAATTTCAACAGTGATCAAGAAGACTTCATGGATAATGTTACACTATTCACAAGGCCTGAATATCTTTAGTTTGAATACAATGTACGGTAGTCTATAAACACTTTGGAAGGATAAACTAAATTTTTACAAAGCGTTCTTTATTTATTTTATTTATTTATTTGAACACATAAATATTGGTACAAGAGAGCGCCAATATATATGCGCCACACAAAACAATGGAAATTCGAAGAGAAGTAGAAAGAAAGAAAAAAAAACTAAGGAACGCAAAAGAAAAAGAGAGTAATGACGAAGAGGTACAATCAGAAGAAATCTTTCAGGTAAAGGAGACACAACCACTTTTTATGAAGAAAGTAAAAGAAGGTTACAGCAGGATCGCCACTGGCTTCTATTCTGAGCCATATCTGATAACGTCTCTAGCCACTGTGTAGCACCATCTCTCAGACCCCAACCAGGGAGTCGTGAAGGACCAACACAAGCCAGCCCTTTGCAGCTTTCTTTCATGCCACGACACCATGTCATGCACTGACCACCTCTCCGCTTCTTCCAACCAGTCCCAGAGTCGGCAAATAATGCACGACGGGGAATTCTCTGGGACGACATTCGGAGAACATGTCCAAGCCACCGAAGTCGGTGTTTCAAGATGGTGACACCAATTGAGTTATCATCTCTGTGCCCGAACACACGATGCCGAGCCTCTGCATTACTGACATGGTGTTGCCACTGAATGTCAGCAATCCTTCGGAGACAGCGATAATCGAACACAGAGAGTCGTCTAACGTCCTCAACTCGGAGAGGCCAGGTTTCACAAGCATAGAGCACAAATGATGAACTCCTTATGTCTATGGAAATTACAAAGCGTTCTAATTGCATTCGATTAAATATATGGTGTTTGACAAGATTCTGAAGTTTATTGCCGGTCTTTTCGAGGTGAAGACATCCTTACTTAGTAAACTGAAGGTATATTCCAGCTGATTTGATGTGAATAGATTACACTGAATAATGTAAAAACCAGTTCTGTATGATGTATCACTAGTTTGCAGAAATATCCAAAAATAACCAATCAACAATACAGTAATGTTCAAGTGATTTATACATACAAATAGAAACCTATCCCATTGCTAGGGATGAAGCTATCACGAGTTCACTTAATCTAAGAACGAGAACCAAGACTCGGTGACCAAAGACCAGTAAGCTAGCTATTTGATGCGTCCCGGCCTCGCTAACTAGAGGGAGAAGTCCAAGCTTGGAATAGGGAAGTATATTCTGCAAAACAGTCAGAAACGAGCGATAACAACAAACACAGTTCCGAACGTATATATACAGCACAGAACTGTCCTTGGGGAGAGTTACCAAATAGCATACTAAAAGATACAACGGACCAATAGCATTTAAGATATTTCCCAAGTGTGAAACACGACATGAAGGTGACAAAAGCGCCTTTGGCGCGAAAACAAAGAAATTCAAATTTTTTAAATAAAATTACAAAATTAGGTCCTTTCCCATGTGAGTTCTGGGGATCTAACGTCGCCAACACCAATAAGGATTATTCAAATTATGTAGTCGTATGAATCCAAAGTACACGAAAAATTGTTTTCTTCTAATTGGCTAACATCTTTAAATGTTGATAATTAACAATGTTATCACTTTCTGTCATAATGTAATAAACGAGAACATAGGCATGGACAATCGAATGCAGTTGAGCGCAAAATGACAGAACAACTTAGTCAAATCTCAGAATCATACAATAAATACTTCTTTTACAAAATATCTATCAATCATTTCAAACTTCATTGTACTTTCGCTTCCACAATAATCATTCTCTGTTCTTGTTTACTTTTCTTCAATTTTCTTAACCGTCTGCTGCAAGACATTTCATTTTCAATTAACGTTATATAGCCCCCAAATGCCTGGTACGGCCGAAAATGGTAAGAGTTCGCTCTCCCTCTCCAAATGCTCTCAAATGGCCAGGCGTATATAGCCTCTGCCAGGGAAGTCCTACTCACTGCCCTCTCGTAGCACCGGTGTTGTTTACGAAAATGAGAGGACGAAAAGCGAATGTCCAGTGCTTTAACCGGGTGGGTGGACATGGTTAGTCCACCTAGAGGAGTTGAAAAACCCTCATTGCAAACCAACAGTGTACATGTGCTGGCTCTAGTATTCCGAGGAACAAATAGTGTATGAACCAATTATTAGTGACCGGCTACCATGGTAATGCATCTCCTCACGTTGCTATACTGCTTTGTGGATCAGACCTTCAGGTCAAAGGCTCCGGGTGTGGCCCCCCTAAGAAGACCATCTGCTTCGATTTGGGCACGCGGGTAGTATCACAGCCATCACACATATCAAATGAGATCTGTGTGGCGCATATGTATTTGGTGCCTCCTTGAACCAATATCTATGTGTTAAAATATATAAATAAATAGCGTTACATACTACTTATATCTATCTATCTATCATCATCATCATCAGTAGTAGTAGTAGTACATATCATAATATAACTGAATGATAAATAAACATAATAACCACATATTATCCATGAATATATTTACTATTCAATATATAATAGAGAGAGGAAAATGTTATAATCACATTACATGTTATAAAAATAGGATAAGTTCCACCGAAAATATCACTAGGAACATAGTTACGTAATAATAGTAATATTAATAGTAGTACTAATAATAATAGTAATGGTAGTAGTAGCAGTAATAGTAATAGTAATAGTGGTAGTAGTAGTAGTAGTAATAGTAGTAACAATAATGATAGTAATAGTACTACTACTAATAATAATAAAGACCTAAACAATAACAAAACTCTATCTGTATTTATCGAATATCTTGAGCAGATAAAAGACGATAGAATATTTCCATAAAAGATAATGAATTTGATGGAAATAATGGTTTATGCAATAGATGATTTTGATGATACATTTCATTGAAATCAATTCTAGTTACCTAGATGAAAAGAAAAAAAAATCTTAATGGAATCCATGGAGAAATGAAAATGAGAAAAGAGAACTATCATGACACTTTAGTAACCAGTTTAACTACAGAATGATTGAACGATAATGATATATCATCTGTTTGTTGATGAGACCCGATCATTGTTGCGACCTTGACGTGGTGGTCGGGCTTGCCTATCGTGATGAAGCAACCGAGCTATACTGACTGGAACAATCGTTCCTCAAGGTCCTACTATACCAGATAGCAGTAAGACTAAATGCAACAAACCCAAGGTCCGAAGGCGAAGTTGTAATGCTCATTGTACAGAGGTGTGATGGCAGTAAGGTGTTTCCTTCAGACAACCAGCATGACAGAGATTATGCCTTTTCACAAGGAGGGATGGGATTAGAAAAGGTCGACCATAAAAATGCACACCTCACCTTATCCAACGAATATCTGTCTCCGGTGGTAAGGTCTCAACAAGTACGGAGCTAATACAAAAATTACTCACAAGAAGGTCGTGTGTGACCGACCTCAAGCAGTTGTCCTTTGGGCACCGTGGTCACGCTGTCAGGTCACTTAGACCGCCTCTAGTCCAATTTCCTTTTTCAGTTACCTCCAGAAGAACCCTCCCACGATGTGGGCAACCGGGAAATGATAACCACCCTCATACCTCTATCAGCACTCAAGACTGGCTGTTGGTGAGACTATAATTTATGAACGACCTATATTTATTTTTTTACTTACTCCAGTTACTTCTCGTGAAGGAGCATAAGCCGCTTAATAGCAGTCTACATCCAGCCCTATCCTGAGTAATTCTTTTCAGCGCTTTCCAGATGTTATTCATTCTTTTTGTGTCTGCTTCTAATCAGTCAGTCAGTAAGTCAGTAACAACGTAGAACATCAGTTCCTGTTGTCATACCACATTAGAACAGAGATGCAGTTGTCGAGTTAAATCCCGTAGTGGTAGAGTAAGTAAAAGTATAAGCAGTAATCGGAAAGATTAGGGTTTGAAGATATTATTCAAGGAGTATAATCTAATGAAATAAATTTGCTCGACGTAGTGTGTTATTTGGCCTTCCTCTTTTCCTCTTCTTTTCAGAATTCCAAGTTAGCGCTCTTCGCATGATACAGTTTAGTGATTTCCTCAATGTATATCTTATCCACTTCCAACGTCTTTTCCTAATTTCCTCTTTAACTGGAAGCTGTTCTGTTTTCTCAGAGTAGGCTGTTACTGATGGTATCCGACCTATGGATGTTGAGTATCTTACGCAGAAAACTATTTATAAATACTTGTACCTTCTTGATGATGGTTGTAGTAGTAGTAGTTCTTGCTAAAATAAACACCAACCAGATCAAGATGGACGACCTTGAGGATCTTCATCTACTTACAGCAATTAAAATGCCGAAATGATATTTAGCCAAATGACTGGATGAATTTTGCGCGAAAATCTAAGACCTGTTATCTTAAATCTAATTGGTTCGTTCAGAAATTATAATCTCACTGTTTAGCTTTCTTCCATAATTAGTAAACAGATGATTAGAGAGATGCAAATTAGAGAATGTGAATGAGCCTACTCTACGAATAATCAGTTAGTCAATGTTTAATATATGGTAGATAAAGATAAATAATAATAATGATAATTTTGAACGATGTACTACCTAGCTGAGGAAGATTTTGACAAGATTATAAATTATAGAAGAACCAATGAGGTATAAGATAACAAGTTTCGGGTTTTGGCGCAAAATTCACTCATCCATTTGGATAAATAGATTTTTGGCATTTAAGCTAATGTCTCTAAGTGCCCTAATATGGCCGAGAGTGGGGTGGGCCCTTCCTCCCTCTCGATATACTCTCACACGGCTACGCGTATACAGACACTCCCAGGGAAGTCCTACTCATCGCTTTCTCGCACCATCGGTGTCGTTTACGAAATTGAGAGAACGAAAAGCGAATGTCCGGTGCCTTAACCAGATCCCAAACCAAATCAATGGTGCACATGGGCTCCAGTATACTGTGGGAACAAATGGCGTATGAACCAATCGTTGGTCACTGGCGACCACGGGACCGCATCTCCTCACGATGCTCCACTGCCTTGTGGATCAGACCTTTAAGTCGAAGGCTCTGGGTGTGGCCCCCTAAGAAAACCACCTGCTTCGGTCCGGGCACCCGGACAGTATCACAGCCCACACACAAATATGATGAAATGTCGATATTTATGGAAAATACTTGTCTCGCTTCGATTAACAATCAAACGATTCACATTATTATTATTATTATTATTATTATTATTATTATTATTATTATTATTATTATTGTTTACGTCATTTATTCACTCTCTTTTATTCCCACTCTGTGTATACTTATTTTTCGACTTATACAGCAGCTCGTCTATGGTGGAAACTCGGCTATATCTAAACGTTCTAGAGTCACTGTCCAGTTGAAAATTGTATGCTACCACCTAATACGAATACTGAAGCAGTTTTTCTGAAACCACGTGCAACATTCAAACTGGCTGCCTTCAACGTTCGCACACTTATGCAGGTCGGACAACAGATAGGGCTGGCTATGTCTTTGGATGAATTCTACCACCAGTTAACTGTTCTTCTCTAGAAAGTGCATTCGACAGATATTGTAGTATTAGCCAGAGATTTGAATGCTCAGGTCGGGCGTCTAGGCACAGAAGAGAATCGTTTAGGTGGTCGATGGAGAATTGTTGATCGCAGGATAGATAACCGGGACCGTCTACTGCAACTGTGCACAGACCACAACCTGTTTCTGGCTAGCACTAACTTTCGGCACAGTCGTCGCCGATGTGCCACCTGGCGTCCTCCCTCTGCATCTCAAGCCTGGACTCAGATTAATCACATCGCGATCAGCTACCGCTGGCGTGGTTGTGTACAAGACTGCCGCTTCTTTTGGAGTACCTAACTGGACTCTGATCATGTCCTGGTCTGCGCCAACCTTACCTTACTTTTCAGTGGCCAACGAAGTGACCGCCACCAGAGGATTGATGTCAGCAAGCTGGTTGCAACTTCTGTTGCAAGTAAGTATCGAATTGAGCTAGCTTCTAGGCTAGCTACAATTTCACCGAAAAGTATACATGAGCATTGGCTGCAACTTCATGACTCCATGAAAATGGCGAGTAAAGCCACTTATAGCTTTGCGAAACGTCCCGCTTATAAGCACTAGGTTTCTTCTGGTTCCTTACAACTCATTGAAGCCCATCGGTCTACTCCGGGTGACCGAGAGTTTGACCACAAACGAAAAATGTTACGTAATGAAATCGGTCAAGGCTTGCGTAAGGACCGAGAAGCCTGGTGGTCGATGCGTGCTAATGAGCTGGAAGCAGCAGCTGCATCTGGTAACTACCGAAAGCTCTTCCAACTCATCCAAGCCACTGGCAGCAAGAAGTCTGGTGTGAGCGAAACAATCTGTGAGGATGACCGGATGCTAATCATTAACATCCATCGACGTCTTGGACGATGGGCAGAATTTTTCGAAGAGCAGTTCAACTGGCCTGCTGCCCCGGCAACATCGGTCAGACTGTCCTGCCCTCCATGGCCGGTGACGACTGATCCACCAAATGAGGAGGAAGTCCGCAAGGAACTCCAACTCTTGAAGTGCTGCAAATCACCTGGCCCAGATGACTTACCACCGGCTCTTTTTAAAGATGGTGGTGACTTTCTGGCTAAGGAATTGATGACGTTGTTTACAAAGGTCTGGGAGCTAGAGAGTGTACCAACGTCATGGAATGAGTCGATAGTTTTTGCAACAACTATCGGAGGATAAGTCTACTTCCGTTTGCGTCCAAGCTATTGGCTTCCGTGATATTTCGTAGACTCTTCACAACCCGAGAAAGATTGACTCACGAGGAGCACGCTGGTTTTCGTTCCGGTCGAGGATTTATTGATCATATCTTCACCCTCCTCCAAACTTCACGGCTCATAAACTATTTTTCACTACACTTTTCTATTTGTCGCAACAACAAAAAATAACAATGAAGTGCCAACTTGATTTTGATTGGTTCATTCAAGGTCGCCGATACTTTAAATGCATAAATGTTAAATTACCAATAACCAATTACAGTATTAGATGACAGACACAATAAGGCGAGACTATGAACTCCATACAAAACGCACATAATGAATCATCAAGATCACAAAATGACAGAGCACGTAAGGTAGTAATTAAAAATCTCTAACCAAAATTAGAATGGCACATTTAATAGCCAGATAATTATTATATAGACTACCTTAGTAGTACGATAATAGCTGGCTATAAAACGAAACCTAATTTATATGCAAAGTTGAATATTGGCTAGCAGTGGAATCGAGGACGCGCGTTTCATTCTATTTGGAACTCGTCAGCTGGATGTTTGTTTTCAGTACTCAATAAAAGTGAAATATCTCCAGTATTTTCGAGCAATTTCCCATCCACTTTATTACGTTATTGTTGTATATATGATTGCAATTTTCACTAGGGACTTAGTTCATTTTAATCACTTCAATCTATCTATATATGTCTTCTATGAATATGCCCTACTGTAGTGGCATCTTAACATGTTAAATAATTAAAATCAGAAGAAGAATATCCTGGAGATTTTAGTAATTTTACAATTGAATTCATGAGTCAGTTAAAACTAGACCACCGTGTAAAACCTGGAAGCACTAGACGGCCGTTTCGTCCTAGTATGGAACTCCTCAACAGTATTTTTCTACAATCCCGCCCACTGGATTGGAACCCAGGACATATCGGCCTCGTGCGCGAATGATTAACCTCTAGATCAATGAGCCGGAATATGATGGTGTTAGTGTCTAACTTCAACCAATCTACTGTCGAGGAGTCCCATACTGGGACGAAACGGCTGTCCAGGATTTCCATGATGGTTTAGCTTTGATTGACTAGTGAATTAAACTATTAAATTACTAAAATCTTCATAAAACCCCCTTCTGATAATAATCATCATGTGTTCAATAGTAAATGATTTCAAGAGGTATTTCCTGGAGTTCTAATGAGAAGCCGCGACCGGTGGGTTTCAACTAGGTCTGTTGTGGGATAGTAACTTACTGAAGACAATGGTGGACGGTGTCTCAATTTCGTGAATTTGGTTGAAGTTAGATATTAACATCGTTGGTTGCCAACCAGCTCAGTGGTCTAGATGTTAAGTGTACGCGCACGAGACTGGTAGATCCTGGGTTTGAATCTTGCGGGGTAGGATTGTAGATGCGCACTACTGAGGTGTCTCATACTAAAACGAAACGACGGTCTAGTGCTTCCAGGTTTTCCATGATGGTCTAACTTCAATTGACTCATGAATTCAACTATAAAAATAAATAAAAGCAAATTAATTGAAAGTTATGAAATTTAAATGAAATCCTCCATGATCCATCGAGTAATTATTGAAAACGTGTTAATTATTTTTGATGAAACTTACTTTTAATTGTAGAAATGGAAAATATTTTGAGTCCATTCGCGGTGCTTCCAGAATTAGCTTAGCTAAATAATAAATAATAAAGTGGTAATCTTAATATCATACTGACATCATTGTCTACTTCAAGAGTAGAATTGTACGCAGAGCTTAGATCTCCTGTACTCCTCTCTCTACATTGTAAAGAATATTTCAAGAGGAAGCTAACAAGGTGGATACCTATTCAGATCATAAAAGAGTTCAGTTTGCATCAGTCAAACATTATCAAACTGTAACGAAACCCGAATATTTATCAAGGTGATGGAGATGACTTATATCTTAGGTGTATGATTATGATAGAGTTTTGTGTTGGTGAGGTTGGTGGTTGTTTCATTGTGAAGCTTTTCATGTGTTTGTTGTGTATCGAAACGTTAATCAATATCTTTTTGTAAGCAATGATGGATAGTGGCTACCAGTGGAATCAAGGACGCGCGTTTCGTCCTATTTGGGACTCGTCGGCTGGATGTACCTGCATCTCAGACTTGTTGATGTTCACTCTGCGACTCGAACCCAGTACCATCCGCTTCAAACGCCATCGCGTTATCCACTCAGCTGCTAAGTCCTTATAACTACTTGCTTGTGCAATGGGGTGGTACATCCAGCTGACGAGTCTCAAATAGGACGAAATGCGCGTCCTAGATTCCACTGGTAGCCACTATCCATCATTGCTTACAAAAAGCTTGTGAAATAAGGCAATATCGAGGCATACACACAGTATGCACATATGCTAAAAACAGACTGATCAATTGCAGTCTTAAAAAAATTCAATGGGAAGATACAAGCCAAACAATACCAAGTGAAGTTAATCAATATCATGTCTTAAATTCATCAATCAGAATTCCGATTATAAATTTCGTTTCACATCTATTGATTTGTTCATAATAAATTCTGACGTGAGCACGTAACGTTAGACCGACCTAAGCTACACTATCTGCCAAGAAACTGAATAGAAGTCAGTAGTCAGCTTTTACTTGTAGTTTGTTCTGAAGAACTTCATTTTGATAGAATGTTGTTAGCACTTATCCTATCTCGTTATTTTCTTTCATTGGTCGACAAACTGTACTGATTTCAATATGTTTATTGACTGCTAATTGACCTGAATTTTAAGCTTCTAGTTGGATGCGCACTGTTGAGAAGTCCCATAATAGGACAAAACGGCCGTCCAGTGCTTCTAGGTTTTCCATGATGGTCTAGCTTCAATTGACTCATGATCTCAAATATTGAACTGACTACAATCTCCACAAAACCCCTTATTCTAAAAATTCCCTGACCTATGTATTCTCATTGTTTAAGATTTCAACGCAAAAGGTTAACTAAACAAGACGATTAACTTGAACACAAGGAAAAATGAAAACAAAGATAATCAGTCATAATCAAACCTATTAAAGCGAATTTATATTACATTCATGAAATAATTGAAATTTTCAATTGTATATGAACTAGGAACTGATGATGATGTTGAAAATAACAATGAAAGTTTAGTATAATTAAACAATTTAATCCAGATAAAGAAACTACATCACTGAAAACATCCGTTTTGAAATGTGAATCATTGCTAACTTCATAACATACAGTTATAGAGCGATACGTCCCGGGTTCGAATCTCATGAAGCGAGATCGTGGATGCACACTACTGATGAGTCCCATAATAGGACGAAACGGCCATTCAGTGCTTCTAGGCTTTCAATGGTGGTCTAACATCAACCAATTCATGATCTCAATCGAAAACTTAATAATCTCCGCAACCCTATATTGATAATTATTTAATAGTTGAATTCATGAGTCAATTAAAGCTAGATCACTATGGAAAACCTGGAAGCACCGGACGACCGTTTCATCCCTCTCGCGGGATTCGAACCTAGGACTCACGCGCGAACACTTGACTTTTAAACCACTGAGATGGTCGGCATTCAACGGTGTTAATGTCTAACTTCGTGAATTCAACTATTAAATTACTATACTATCCACCAAAAACACCCTTTCTAATTATAGAAGTATTTAAATGAAACAACTTACTTTGATAATTTGAACTGTTCAATAACCAGCATATTGAAGATTCCAATGGGAAGTCCATAATAAACCAAACTAAACTTTTTAAACTATTTTTAATCAGTAGTAAAACCAATTGAACCTAAAAATTGAATGTTTTTTTGTTGTTGAAAGAAAAGAAGATTGAAATTTGAGTTCATTAATTAATTTACTTCATAACAGTTTCAATAAACAATATGTAACTATTAAGGTGAAGTGAATGTTAGCTGTAGACAGAGAAGAGGTAATATACGCAGGAATCTTCATAAAACTATACTGTATACAGATGATTGATCATTGAGCGATGAATAATGTCATGTTTATCTTGTCCTGCAGTGTTGAACGAACTTTTTCAAACAAGTGGCTGACTGGTTCGACATTACATGTACTATGACGAGATATTAACTCCGCTAGGAGCCCCACTGAGACTACTGCCAGTCTCAAGCCCGGATAAAGGAGGAGGGTTGGGAATGAGATTAGTGAACCCATCCCGTAGAAAACTAACTCGCTAAAAAAACGCTAACCAGAAAAAAATAATAAGTAATGACAAGATATTAGGTAGCTGGAAGTAGTTAACAGGAAGCCCTCGGTCTATGTTTCGTGCTACTTGATACTAGTTAGCAAAGCTTATCTAGAATCATTTTATATTTATTTACTTTATTTAAACACATAAACATTGGTAAAAGGAAGCACCAAATAGATATGTGCCACATAAATCATTCGATTTGTTTGACGGCTGGAATACTGCCCGGATGCTCAAACCGAAGCACGTGGTTTTCTTAGGGAGTCACTCCCGGAGCCTTTAGACCTAGATTTCTAATCCACAAGGCGGTGGAGCAACGTAAAGAGATGCAGTCCCATGGTAGCTGGTCACCAATAATAGGTTCGTACGACATTTGTTTTCTTAGGATCCTGGAGCCCATTGATATGATGGAAAGAAAAGTCCATTTTCGATTGATTTACTCATTATGAGTTTTGTTCAACATTACTTCCTTTCTAATTCAATGTGAGGATCATTCAGTGGAGTATTTGATTGTGTTTTCCCAGTATGATATTTTCTTTTGTATAATATACGAGATATTCTTGTATTCACTTGACATGAACTATGCTCAGTAAGTGATTTGTTATAACTGAGTATGTGATCTAATCCTAATTATGAATCAAAAATGGGTGTACAATCAATATAGAAATCAGTGTATTTTAGACTATTATGTTTCGTCGTCGTCATAGTGTTTGGGGCTAATAAATCTTCACTTATACCAGTCTTTGTGTTCTTACTTTCGCATCGTGGGAATTGCAGAGGTCCCTCATTCCGACTATAAGTGATCAGCGTTTTTTTCCGGCACAGAAATCAGCGACGAACGAATATAACACCCATGTACACCGTTGGTTTGGAATGAGGGTTTTCCACCTCCACTAGGTGAACCTTCAGTGTCCACCAACCCGGTTAAAGCACCGGACATTCGCTATCCATCCTCTCCATTTCGTAAACAATCATGAGGAGACTGATGCTTTTTATGGGATTTAAACACGCAACACAAGGTGAATAGTCTAAAAAGTTACGTATGAGCTACTCAGGCCGTGACTGACTTCCTATGAGGTATTTTGCCAACTAATCAATAAACTACACTATCTATTTATTTATATACGCACAGGAGTGGCTGGCTTTAAATTAGGTTCCAAACGTTTTAGTAGGAAGTTTCAAACTATGTCAATTAAAACATGTCTACAACTGAGACAGATATCTCATAAACGATGGTGTCCATGTAATGTCGCGAAATGTTTGAAACAAAGAAAAGAGCAATTCACTAGATTATTAAATCATGGCGTGTGTTAATAATAATGTATTTCAAATGCAACCCAATATTCCTGTGATATATCAGTGAGTCGGCAGTAATACGTCAATGTTGACCAATACTCATGTCAAGTGATATTGTACGTACTAGTCCCAGCAAAGTTAAGCACGACAATAAATACTCCAATATCAAAGTTTAACGGTAAGTTATATGTAAGAGTGTACTAGTAACCGATCTTACGTGTTTTACAATCATTGCTCGGATAATTTGCGACCATGCAATTAGTGATTTTGAGGTTGGACAGAAAGTATGACAAATCGAGTGAAGGGGTAGTGAATCATTTACGGCTTATATGGTTAGGATAATCTGGAACCGCAAGGATGGTGTAGGAGTGGGTTGAGAGAAAACAAGGGGTCTCCAAGCCAAGACATGGGTATTAGTCTGTGAAGACAGTGAGTATTGAACTGGATAATATAAGTAGATACAGGCTACCTGTTGTGATCCGCATGATTATCATAACTAATAGTCAAGGATTTTGAGTGACACGATTCCAAATCATTCACAATGTCCTTGGTGTATTCACTTTTTACCATCACTTAGATCCTAAGTTTCCAAATTACTTTACAAGTTTGTTTTGTTTCGTTAACTTATATTTTCTTAAATCATAACTTTCATGCCAAATCTTTTCTATTGCCACTAGTATACTATTACAACCTCTACTATTCTGTGATTTGCCGTAGTAACTTGAACCGATGACTTAATGTACCAGGTTCTACGTTGTATTTGAATGACTGAAGAATTACCAGTCACAGTATGTTACTTATCCATGATTCTACAAAACTGATATTGTGAATTCAAGTCAACGATGATTATTCCGTTTCGGAATCAATGGAATACATAAACATTAACAGATGACTAATGCTTACTGGATTTCAATTCAAGTCACTAGTGGTCATGTATATCAAATACATCTGTTTATACTTGCTTTGCTTTAAAGCACAAAAACGTTTTACCGAAAAAAACTAGTTACTTATCTATATTTATAGGGACGTAGTGTTGTATATCAAAAAGGGTTTAGCTATATCAAACTTTTTGGAGATTTCACATCATCACATTAGAATAGGTTGTTTAACAGAAAGCGAGACTTAGTAGTTAAAGCATTCTACTATCAACTATTAAGTCACAGATGTGAACTGCACTCCATCTACATCAATCTAGGTAATTGGCTATCATTACAGGTTCTCTGACATATCCCGCGTGAGGGACCATGGATGAGCATTGCTGAAGAGTCCCATACTAGAATGAAACGACCATCCAGTGCTTCCAGGTTTTCAATGGTGATCTAACATTTATTGTCTCAATCAAAAACTTAACAATCTCCACAACCCCCTACACTGATACACAGAGAATAGCTTGAATGTACCTGGAAAGTGAGATGAATATATAAATATAAGCTTTAGTTGAAAATTTAACAACTCACACAAATGGAACGGTGAAACTCAATATTATCTAAAGCAATTAGTCCTTTTTATAAATTTCGATAGAGCTATAAGAAGATGGAGTTGATCTGAAAAATGTGATGTATTTGCGCTATACATTGTATTTAACTTCAACCAGTAGGTCCTGGGTTCGAACCCCGCGGGGTGCGGGATCGTGGATGAGCACTGTTGAGGAGTCCCATACTAGGACGAAACAGCCGTCCAGTGCTTCCAGGTTTTCCATGGTGGTCTAGCTTCAACTGACTCATGATTTCAACCTGTGAAATTTCTAAAAATCTCCACAAAACCCATTCTGATAATACATTGTATTTACCAATTTACATGTTTGTGTGAACAAACATACATAGGGAAGAGTAATTGAACAATACAATTAAGGATCATTGAACATGTGCCTAGATGGTTTCAAAACCAATTAGTGTCAAATGGTCCAAACAAGGTGGAGGGTAGAAAACCATGTTCATCGATAGCGAAACATATGTATATTTGAAACGAGGCACAAAATTGACAGTAACACCGCTTTTAAAACGTTGTCATGGATGAATTCTCAAGTTTATTGAAGCCTTGGCTATTTGTAAATTTACCCTCACCACCACTACCCGCATTTATGTGTACAAAAACAATTTGTCGTAACTTAGATTCAGTTGATGTTGTTTTACTTGTATTTTCCCATTGTTATTTAGGACTGTAATTGATCAGTCTCTTGTTGGCATATGTACATCCTGTGCGGATTGCCTCGACATAGACTTAAGTCATAAGCTTTTTCGTAAACTTAAATTTACCCTAGTAATCCTTAAGTCATTTTATGGCCTAGGATAATGTGACAATTTCTTATCTTTTCTATATAATGCAAAATGTTTCTCTCCCCTTTGTTACCTTTTATACTTGAACTTTCATTTAATCGACCTTTATTAATTTTCATATCAAAACGCCCTGACAAGAATACGTGTGATCAGATTGTTCGAAATGTATAATGCGAATACATCACATTTTTCAGATCAACTCCATCTTCTGATAGTTCTAGCAATACTATTATCTCCCAAGAATCAAGGTTGGATGGTTTGATCGTGGATATAATCAGTATTCTTCTGGCGAGGGTTATTAAGACAAAATTCAGTTAAAAGTGAAGTATTCGAATCTATCTACATTTGACTAAAACCTTGTTCTGTCAACTATGATCTTGATTGATCACCATTGACGTTTAACCTGCCACTATCTGCCTCTTTATTTTGATTATATCTCCATTTGATCTATATTTATCTATAGTTTTCCGGTTGAATGTGTATACAAAAATGTTCATATGTATTGATATAAGCGAAGATATATTACGACGTTTGACTGTTAATTGATGATCATGGACAAATGTAGGGCAAAAGATTGGATTAAAGGAAGATACAATTAAAATCAAGTGACAATAATAGCAGATTAAACATTAACAGTAACCATTCAAGACTGGGCCCCCAAATGCCCCGGTACGGCCGACAGTGGGGAGAGTCCACTCTCCCTCTCCAAATGCTCTCAGATGGCCACGCGTATATAGCATCTACCAGGGAAGTCCTACTCACTGACTTCAAGTGGAGGGGGTGTTGATTTTATTTATTTATTTATTTATTTATTTATTTATTTATTTATTTATTTATTTGAACACATAAATATTGGTACAAGAGAGCGACGAGTAGTGAATGTCCAGTGCTTTAACCAGGTTGGTGGATACAGAGGATCCACCTAGGGGAGTTGAAAAACCCTCATTCCAAACCAATAGTGAACATGGGCTCCAGGATCCTAAGGAAACAAATGGCGTATGAACCAATTATTGGTAACCGGCTACCATGGGACTGAATCTACTTACGATGCTCCACTGCCTTGTGGATTAGATCTTTAGGTCGAAGGCTCATGGTGTGGCCCTATAAGCAAACCACGTGCTTCGCCTTGAGCATCCGGGCAGTATTCCAGCCGTCAAACAAATCGAATGATTTATGTGGCGCATATGTATTTGGTGCCTCAATACAACTATACATAATGTTCACTTACAGATGCAAATGTAATATAAAATGCTATTGTTGTAGTAAATAAACATAATCCAATAGCAAGACCCAATAAAGTGGAGACTAATAAACGATCCAGATATACTCCACATGTTTGTTTAGTTAATTGATCACATAGAATAATATCAGAATCTTTTTTATGAGAAATAAATTTATACAATACATTTTCTTGTTGCACAATTGATCTTTCTGATTGTTGTTTTTGGTAATGATTTTTATCGTTGAAAAATCCTGGTGTAGTAGTAGCCGTCGATAATATTGTCGGTGATGATGGAGATGATGATGATGAAATTTTCTTCTGTAATGAACTAACTGATAAGAAAAATTCATTAGAATCAAGATACATATCCGGTATTTTATCAACACGATTACGTAATGGATTCCATTTAGAACTATTACGACATAGACGCCATGAAGCAGCTATTGTTTTCAATTGTAAACGAAGTAAACTATAATAATAAAAGTGAATAAGGAGATTCAAATGAGAAGAAAGTAACATTAATACATATACATATAGAATATGCAAGCGGATATTTTTGGTGACAGTAAGTGATTATATCTAGCTAATTACATTGATGTAGTGGAGACGAGATATAAACCTTAGATACAATCACTGAAGAGCATACACAAACATTGACATTTTTGATAAGAGAGAAATGTGGTGAATATGCTTGAGACCAATTTTTATTCATATCATCTAGAAACCATTGAATCATTCATTTCGAAAAATCCAGTGAAGGCATATACAATTACACTGTTCACAATTGGTTGATCAATGAGTGGTGACCAATGTTATGTGTGTCAAGTCCTTATTAGTGCAGATCGACTGGTCGCGGCCCGGATAGCTCAGCTGTAACGTCTCTGACTGTGAAGCTGAGTGGTACGGGATTGAATCCGTCAGGGAGCACAAGTTCCCTCAAGATTACAGGTACACCTTGCTGACGAGTGCCAAGTAGCACGAAACCCGAGTCCGGGGTTTCCTGTCGACTAGCTCCAACCACCATCTAATTACGCTATTTGACTGTATGCAGTGATATAAGTTTGTAGTTGAGTAAATCACAGCGTCTAATATACCTACAGAAGGATATCTGCAAAACAAATTGGTTATGATGTAAGATGGTTAGAGATATTTAGAGAAATCCTGCTGAACCTAGATTTCGTGTTTGTCGGCCCTCGTCAGTAAGGCGTACTAGCAACCTTGAGGCAAATGATGCTCCCAGGTGGATAAGAACGTGGGTCACCCCGTTTCGTGACCCAGAGTATCACTGAGTTTGTTCAAGACGAAACAGAACACCTAAGGGTTAAATGTATAATTGCAAGTTTAAATCTTGAGGGTTTGGGACAGTCGTTGATACTTTCAAAACCAAATTAAGTACAGTCGGGTTCAAACTTGCGATCTAATAACGGTTAAAATATGAGTGCATAAACCATTTAGTCGCCGCTCCATTTAAGGTAAATCATTTACAAAGAACAGGTTTATGTACCCAATCTTAGGAAACGCTTTTTGAGTGTTGTTGTTTGAACCGAAGTTTGTGAAATGGAATTTCACTGTCGACATTCCAGAAAGCTTAAAGTTAAGTATGATATCGACAAAAAATTGTATAGCAGGAAAATAAACTGGACAGGATTATTTTAAAAAAGTACAATACTAAACTATTTCATAAGTTAGCCTTCAGCATGGATTGATTTCAGTTGAAAGTCACGAACCACTGAACAGCCTCTTTCATTCTACTTTAAGACTTATCAGTTATGCGAACCCACGTGAACCACATAGGAGATCGAACATCAAAATAAACACGAGATTACTACTGAATTATTGAGTTGGAATTCGAGAGTACCATCAGTGACGTTTTTCAATATGGATATGATTGAACTCTACCAGTCACGGCTAACATTATAAATAATTTTAAAGCAAATGTACTGTTATCGGAAATTTTGGAGATTTCTACAATACCAACCAGATCGGTTGAAGAAAGATTAGAAATGAGAAAAGTAAAGTGCATAGGTGAAATCTTACTGCTGACTGCACATGGGTGTGGCAGTGGTATGTAATTTTCTTTATACAACTAGCATCTGCAGCGATGTTGCCTTCTCATAAATGAAGTAAGGAACTAAAATAATCGGCCACAATTTGTCTCAAGGATTTCAATCTCCAAAGATAAAGCCTTACGAATTACGGAGGTATTACATTAACAACTAATCACAAAATGGAGTGTAAGACTGGCCTTAAAAGGTTATACCTTGGGTTTAACGGTCACGCTCTTAGGTCACTGAGATCATCACCAATCCATTTTTTCTCCAGGTCTCCCAAGAAAAACCATATTTCAACGGTGTGAACAACCGAGAAGCAACATACCACCTCATGCTTCTAACAGCGCTCAGAATAATCCTGGTTACAATTAAATCCTATTATTAACAAGAGACTAAAGTGCTATTGTCGGGAACATATTACTATTAAGTCATTACTGTATCAGATTCTCATACTTTACATTCTTCAAACTTTAACGAATTCGAACTATAGTGTAACTGTCAGATAGTGTTGTTGTTTCTGTTTTCGTCGTAACCGTCGAAAATTCATCTCATTCCAAACTAGATTGACTACGCAGGTCAAGAGAGATTTCCAGTAAAACCTACTGGAAACTAATCTCTACATAACATCAATAATGGGTACTCAAATAGTACTCATTTCGGTTAGGGTAGGACTTAACAGTAGGACTCAATTGTAAACAATTGAATGCAGTGAATGTGAATAGGCGGTGGTTTTCGCCAATGAGTAATGACAAAACTCAGTTACATAATTATCACTTATACAATCTGTTTGTTCACATTAAGGTCGAATGACTGGGTCCTTAATGGTTGTATATTAAGTGTTTAAACCATGCAATCATAGCTTGCACGTGTCAATGATCATAGTACACACGACGGACAATATACTAAAGTATTCAATCATCGATCGAATATTTTAGGCTGGAGGTAATCGTGAATTCAGAGGTGTGAAAAACGTAATATATGTACCGTAATCATATGACTTCATGAATGACCTAGTATATTCAGAAGTAGTGAGAATAGGCTTCCTCTCTCTTTATCATTGTAAACATTTCCACACGATAAATCAAGATTCAGGAAATCTCTTACTCACCTGTCTACAATCGATTTGCCCCAAAAGTTACGACTTTAATTAGATCCAAGATGATGGATACTTACTTTGGATACTTCAACTGTGCACGGTCTTTAAATTTCTCAAGGAATACGATGTCTAACGATTACTGATTTATGTCGAGTAATTAATAAATAATAATTCAAATTCACAGCCTACATCACTGATTACTTTTACCAGGATAATCAGGAAGCACTGGACAGCTGTTTCGTTTTGGTTTGGGGGACCCCTCGAACACTGTTATCCACGACTACCTCGAGTATCGAACCCAGGGTCATTCGGTCTCGCGGTAAGCGCTTAACCTTCAGACCACTGACCGAGTATGCAATAATCTACATGCCTGATTCCAACCAATTTGCTATAGTGAGCAACCATTTTTAATCCTATTGACCAGTAACTGTCATTAAAGAACGCATTACGTCGGGAAATAGAATCAGATATGAAAAGGATGAATAACAACTGGAAAGAGCTGGAAAGGATTCCCCAGGACAGGGTTGGATGGAGAATACTGGTGTGTGGCCTATGCCTCTCCACGAGGAGTAACAGGCGTTAGTAAGTAAGTATTTGAATCTTTCCATAGACATTGAAGACAGTAATTGATCAGTCTATTATAGACATATATGCATCTTGTGCAGATTGCTTTGACATTACCTGCCTTTAAACAACCAATACAAAAATGAATTGAATAAGAGAAATACTTTCTCTAAAAAAGAAGAAAAACAGAACAAAACAAAACTTAATAGTTGAATTCATAAGTCAGTCGAAACTAGACCACTATGGAAAACTTGGAAGCATTGGACAGCGGTTTCGTTCTAGCATGGCACTCCTTATCCACGATCCCGCCTCGCGAGATTCAAACTCAGGACCTATCGGTCTATTGTTATATTTAGTGCTTGGATTCTTATTATATTGCGTACAACTTGACCAACTCGAGCGCTAGAACCCTTCAAGTCGCAAATGAGAAAACAAATGAAAGGAATGATATTTCAAAACAGTGTCAATTATGGTACAAAACTGTCAAGTATTTATAGTTTTTAGTAAAAACGAAATCATCATTATAGTTCTCCAACCCACACACGGGGGGTTATTAGCATTGTCCAATCGAGAAGCTACTCATAGAGATTCTAGAATATTCTTCCAAGAGGTGATTGGGTGGAATATCTTCGGCTATTTCTGAGCTTCTTACAGCTTCCTCGGGTTCATCCGTGAATCGTCCTCATAGTAACTCACTGAAGACAATGGTGAACAGTGGCACAATTTCGTAGATTAGTTGAAGTTCGACATTAACATTGTTGGATGCTGACCGGCTCAATGGTTTAGAGGTTAAGCGTCCGCATGCGAGACTGAGTCCTATGTGAGGGATCTTGGATATGCACTACTGAGGAGTCCCACAGTAGGACGAAACAGTCATCCAGTACCTCCAAGTTTTTCATGGTAGTCTAACTTCAATCGACTCATGAATTCAACTATTAAAATTACTACAGAAAACCCCTTTTTTGACAAAACGAAATTAAGAGTAAATTGAAGCTAGACCACCATGGAAAACCTGGAAGCTTTGGATAGCTATTTCGATTGTCCCCATTCGTGTTCTTGTTCACTACATACTTGCTCCCAAATGCCCTGGTACGGCCGAGTGTAGAGAAAGCCCGCTCTCCCTCTCGAAACATTCTCATATGGCCACGCGTATATAGCCACTGGCAGGGAAGTCCTACTCACTGTCTTCTTGTGGGAAGGGTGTTGTTTGAGAAATTGAGAGAACAAAAAGCGAATGTCCAGCACTTTAATCGGGTCGGTGGATACGGAGAGTCCACTTGAAGAAGTTAAAAAACCTGATTTCAAAGCAATGGTGAACATGGGCTCCAGGATCCTAAGAGAATAAATAGCGTGTGAACCAATTATTGGTAACCGGCTACCATGGGACTGCATCTTCTTACGATGCTCCACTGCCTAGTGGATTAGATCTTTAGATCAAATGGTTCCAGGTGTGGCCCCCTAACAAAACCACCTGCTTCAGTTTGGGCACCTGGGCAGTATCACAGCTCTCATACAAATCAAATGACATTTATGTGGCGCATATGTATCTGGTGCCGCCTAGTATAGAACTCTTCAGCGGTGTGCATCCACGATCACCCCCACACACACACACACACGGGATTTGAACTCAGGACCTATCAGTTTTTCATGTTGGTCTAGCTTGAATTCACTGATAATTTCAACTAATTAAATTATTAAAATCTTTATAAAAACCCCATCTGATAAAACAAAATAAATAAAAGACAATAAATGAACTTACTGTGTAGCATATATATAAAAGCTTGTTAAATGCAATGTAATCAATTCAATTGTATCTAATAATAAACAAATTAATAAACTAAATAATAAACGTATGATTGTTGATATATAAATCATAAACATTCTCAATAATGATACAATATAAGCATAGTGGGGAGGAGGAGCAGGAGGAGCAGGAGGAGGAGGAGGAGGATAGTGTTTATATTGATATATAGATAATGTTGTTACTAAGTAAATTGTACTCATTAATAAACATATGATTGTTATAATATTGATTAAAATGTAATGATAATGGTGATGATAATGATCGTGATTGGGATTGTGATTATTGAATGAATCAATTCCAGTGAATTGTTTTAATTGATTCATTAAATCAATTAATAAATAAATAATAAATGTAACATAAGAACGCCATGCTAATATATGATATAAAAAAAATTGTCCCATTAAATAGGATAAATGAATATTGATTTTTAAACCAGCTGGTTTACCTTGTTCAAGCCATAATAGAAGACGAGTTAATTCACATGTGAAATACTAAAGAAGAAAAAATAAAAGAAGATAATAAATGAAAATAATAATTCGTTATGGAAGTATTGGATGACTGTGTCATCTTAGTATAGGATTCCTTAGGAGTGCATATCCATGATCTCGCCTAGTGAGATTTGAACTCAGGATGTATTGGTCTTTTATTTATTTATTATTTATTTGAACACATAGATATTGGTACAAGGAGGCACTAAATACATATACGCCACACAAATCTCATTCGATATGTGTCAGTCAGTCAGTCAGCTACAACGTAGGACCAGGCACATATGTGCATCGGTCCACGTTGCCATACCGCATCAGCAAAACAAGATGAACACCGGATTCATAACAGTGGTTAGGTCAAAGGTGGTAATATATAAGAGAAAGATTGCATATAGAGATATAGTACAAGAAAGAATTGGTTCGTAGAAAGAAAGATATGAAGCGATTTTAATCTCTTAGTTTAAGGGAAGACAGGGAGTGTATACACCGACGCCATTGTGATCGATTCTGAGCCATGTCACCAAGAGTCTCCAACCATTGGTTACGAAAGTCACGCGGACCCCAACCAAGTAGTCTGCATCTACCAACATGGCTCAGACTAGAAGTTAGTGTCTTCAAGCACTGATGCCACGTTTTGGTTTGGCCGCCCCTAACTTTCTTCCAACCATCTCCAATACCGGATAGCATTGCACGACGTGGTAATCGGTGTTCGGGCATACGTAACACGTGGCCCAACCATCTCAGTCGATGAAGATTAACAAACTCGTCAACTGATTTACCATCATTCCCTGATACCCTGCGTCTAACCTCACTATTACTTACCCGGTGATCCCAGCAGATGCCAGCAAAATGTGTGAGGGCTGTGATACTGCCCGGAAGACCAAAGCAGGTGGTTTTCTTAAGGGGCCATGCCTTGAGCCTTTGACCTAAAGGTCTGATCCACAAGGCAGTGGAGCATCGTGAGGAGATGCAGTCCCATGGTAGCCGGTGACCGACGATTGGTTCATACGCCATTTGTTCCCACAGGATACTGGAGCCCATGTGCACCATTGGTTTAGAATCCGGTTAAAGCACCGGACATTCGCTTTTCGTCCTCTCATTTTCGTAAACAACGCCCCCGCCACGAGAAGGCAGTGAGTAGGTCTCGTGCGTGAACGTTTAACCTTTAGATCAATGGATTGGTTGAAGTTAGGCAATAACATCATTGGATACAGGGCCCGTTCAGTTGTCTAGAGTTTAGGTGTTCTCATGTGATACCGAATGTGCTGAGTTCGAGTCCCTTTGGTGTGGAGTCGTGGATGTGCACTGTTGAAGAGTTCCATATAATATTGATTATAATATCCATAAAAACCCCTTTTAATATTTAATTTGTATACTTCTGAGTGTCAATCTGGTTACGTATAAGATAGTTTGATATAGACTATTTAGTTTTTCCAAACTGATAATCTCATTACATAGATTTTTTTCTGTGCTTCTCTATACAAACATTGGCTTGCAACCCCATAATGATAAAGTTTCAGATATATCATTACTAGAAAAGAATTTGGATTACCTATTGGTGATGATTTCCAAATGGGATGAAACATATTTCTTACATTCTATCAATAGTCGAAAATCCATGTATTCTGCCGTAAGTCAAGAATGTTTCGAAAACTCTATATTATGAATACAGTGATCTTGAGTGCTGTTAGAGGTATGAAAGCGGTTATCACTTCCCGGTTGCCCACATCGTGGAAGGGTTCTTCTAGGGGTACCTGAAAAAGAAATTGGATTGGAGGTGGTCCTAGTGACCTGAGGGCTTGAACGCAGTGCCCAAGCGACAACTGCTTGAGGTCGGTCACACACGACCTTTTTGTTAGTAATTTTCGTGTTAGCCCCGTACTTGTTGAGACCTTACCGCAGGAGACGGATATCCGTGGGATAAGGTGAGGTGTGTATTTTTAGGGTCGACCGTTCTAACTCTACGCCTCCTTGTGGAAAGGCAGCATCGCTGTCATGCTGGTTGTTTGAAGGAAACACCTTACTGCCGTCACACCTCTGTACAGTCAGCATTACAACTTCGCCTTCGGACCTTAGGTTTGATGCTCCTAGTCTGACCGTTTTTGAACAGATCTGTCTGGCATGGTAAGACATCGAGGAACGATTGTTCCAGTATAGCTCGATTGGTTCGTCACGATAGCCAAGCCGAACCACCACGTCAAGGTAGGAGCTACAGTCGGGATTCACCAGTCAGTCAAAGCTAGATTGCCACTGAAACCCTCAAAGCACTGGGCGGACATTTTCTCCTAGTATGGGAATTCTCAGCAGTGAGCATCGGTGATCCCGCACACGGAACTCGAACTCGGGACACAGGTTTAGAAGGAATTTAAGTTTTCAAACTGCTATGCATTTTTCCCGGTTAATTATCACATCAGAAAATTACCAATCCGAATACTGACTTATATGACCTTATTCTTGTGTTAAACCAAATGACACATCAAAACAACACTAGCAGCTTTGTGTCAAATTCTGAATCTTTATTGGTCCATCTCCCTTAGTCCTGCCCGTTGAGTTTAGAAAACAATCTCAGCTTCCACTGAATGAATCATGTATTTCAGAACTACTCAGTTCATATACAAGTAAATCATACCATACCATACCAAAAAGTGGCTGTGATTGTGTGAGGCTGTTACTTATAGATTGCGAATGACTGAAGAATAGTGAACCGCATAATAATCGTCAATAGGTAAATTGAAAGCTTATAATAACACCAACAGTTAGGGCTGTATGTTTATATCATTTTGTAAACAATTTTGATATGAGGATATGAATAGTAAAACTACTAGCCAAACTGATAGATTTGAATAATATTTGATTGAAGTTTGAGCGATCACTAGGCTGAGAATCAGTCACAATGCAACAAATGTATTAAATCGTAATGTTCCCCAAGAAGCACTAATGATATTACTACCCTATTACGCGAACCGAAATACGTGTAGTGGGGCTCGAACTTGGAACTTTTTGGATAAAAATCGAAAAGCTTAACCACTAAGCCACCGCTTTAGTTAGTCGATCCCATTCAGTTATAAATCATCAAGTCACAAATTTGAATTCCATTTCCTCTACTCACATTTAGTCGGTCAAGTACAAACTATTAGCTAACTGATGACTTCTGTAATGAGTCTGTGAGCTAGACGAATAGTGTATAATTCCAACATTTAATAACAATGAGACCCCTGTACAACATTTTCCTTGCTAAACACACAGAGGCCCGAGACTGCTTAAAAGGTTCATTGATAGAGACTGAAAAGACAAGGACAAACTCTTGATACTCATTGTCAATACCGCTTGATGTTAGCTTTTCGGGTCTTGGTTAATACGGCTGCTCAGTAAAGATGTTCGAATGCCAGTGAATTTTTGCAAATGCGAACTACAAATCAGAAGTAACGACTTGAAGTGATTCTTCATCAGCGACTTTAAAATCAGAATCGTTCACATATGAAACCCACAATACCAGGAAATTGTCAGTTTCGCCCATTATATGCTTTAAAACACCAGTACTGGATACCTAATAATAACGAATTGTTACCATACTACATGCTTAGTGATTGGACAGTTTTATCAAAAGAGCAACTGTATTTGTTTCTGCGTTAAGATACTGCGTTAAAGTACTTAATTTGAATCAGCTAAATCCAATTTTCCAAGTAGAAGCAAAATCTTTCATGCATCACTCTAACATCACAAATATCATTGAAATCACGAACAGATCTGAGTTAAATAATAATTGGAAGCCTGGTATTACTGGACGGCGTTATATCTTAGTGTGGAACTTCTCAAAAGTAGGTGTGCACCACCTCGTACCCAAGAATCGAACACAAGACATTCAGGCTTGCTCATGGATGCCGAATCTCTAGACCAATGAACCGAGATTTAGTAGTGTAAAAGTCTAACCAATCAACCCACCAAACTTGTAAACCACTAGGTCACGACTCAGTGATCTTATTTATTTATTTATTTATTTATTTATTTATTTATTTATTTATTTATTTAAGCACAAGCATTTGGTATAAGGAGGCATCATAAACATATGCGCCACATAAATCATTCGATTTGTGTGAGGGCTGGGATACTCCACGGGTGCCCAAACAGAAACAGGTGATCTAGAGGTTAAGCATTTGTGCACGAGACCAAGGGTTCCGAGTTTAATTCCCAGTCACAGAATTATGAACGTGCACTCCTAAGAAGTCTCATACTAAGACAAATCGACCGTCCACTACTTCCAGGTTTTAAATAGTTGTCTAATTTGGATCGATTCATGATTTCAATGAAATGTAAAAATCTCCCCAATTTCAATACTGACATGTCAGTCCTACAGGACGTCGGTCGCGACTCGGATAGCTCAGTGGTAACGTCTCTGACTGTGAAGCTGGGTGACACGGGACCGAATCCGTCAGGGAGAACAAGTTCCCTCAAGATTACAGGTACACCTTGCTGACGAGTGCCAAGTAACACGAAACCCGAGTCCAGGGTTCCCTGTTGACTACCTCCAACCACCATCTAATCATTTACACTGTTATTCAATCGAAATAAGCTTGTACTTATTCTATTCAATCACATTCGATTTAAATATTGAAAAGAAAAGAAAGAAATCTGTATATATCGTTCATAATATACTCACTTCAATATAACGATAAAGTATATTCATTTGACAGTAATTTGTTGATGGTGACAGATAGTTCATTAATTCTTTTGTGGAATTATATAATATGAATGGAGATGATGAAGATGATGATGAGAGATTTGCTGATGATAATGTCAATGTATAATTTTCTTCATTTTTATCTAAATAAAATAAGCCTAATGTAGGGATAATTTTACAATTTAAATCATTCGGTAACCAACTACTACTAATGGCTGTATTAGTAGTAGTAGTAGTAGTAATAGTATGATAATTTGATTGAATAGTATTACATGAAGATAATTGAGATGATGATTTATTCACATGAGGTGTACAGCATCCAAAATCATAATTATTATCACTATGATGATGATTATGTGGTACTGTAATTAAACATAACATTAAAATTAATAATTGTATAGCACAAAATATAACTAGACTAGGATCTGGTACAAAAGTTGACAATGATAACACTTTCGAATGGTGGACATATAGCATAGAAGAATGATTTGTGGTACTGATGTTACTACTATTATCAGTAGTAGTAGTAGTAGTATTGGTAGTATTGGATAACTTATTTAGACAATTTGTACAGAATGTAGATGATTTCCTTGACGTATCATATTGGTATTTAATTAATAATAAGGTATAGCTCATTTGAATGGTTTTGTTAAACAACTTGGTGAAAATCTGTACTATTATCTCAATGAAACGAGAATATTGCCGTGAACATCTAGGGAGGGAAAGAAAAAAAAACGAAATTTGATGATAAACGAATGAACACTTTACTGAATGTACTAATATATCAGAGCTAAGATAACAATTGGTTGATCACTGCCAGGGAAGTCCTAGTCACTGCTTCGCTAACGGGGTGGTGATCACGAAATTGAGAAGACGAAAAGCGAATGTCCGGTGCTTCAACCGGGTTGGTGAGTATGGAGGATCCACCTAGGGGGGGGGGGTGGAAAACTCTGATTCCAAACCAATGATGTACATGGACTTCAGTACCCTGAGGGAACAAATGGTAGTATGAACCGATTGTCGATCACCGGCCACCACGCTAATGCATCTCCTGACGTTGCTCCATTGCCTTTTGGATCAGACCTTTAGGTCGAAGGCGCCGAGTGTGGTCACTTAAGAAAATCACGTGCTTCGGTTTGGGTACCCGGACAGTATCCCAGCCCTCACATAAATCGAATGATTTATGTGGCGTATATTTATTTGGTGACTCGTTGTACCAATGTTTTTGTGTGATCTTAGAGTACAAATCTTTATAACTGGACGAATATTGTAGAAGCTGGAGCTATTGGAAACATTTATCAAGTCATTATTACACCAAATTTTATTCTATATCTATTAATTTCTCAATTTATGATGTAATGCCGTCCAGCATATTTGTATGTGAATCCAAGTCTGTTTGAACCATAGAAATAAGAGAAACTGGTTACTGACTTTTTGAAGCCCAAGGAAAGGCATAGAGAAAAGCTAAAGGATATCGAATTGATAGGAGCTTAAGTGAGTTGGCTCAAGGTCAACGGTACTGGTCAAGCGTACGCTGGGTCAGGTTTGGATCAACAGACCATGGAATAAATGGTAGACGAGGAATAGACAAAATTAGAATTCTGACCGGTCATTTTAAAACGTGATATTGGTCAGTGTCTTCTATACACAATACAACTCAGAAAGCGATGACAGATAGCATTTACCTTATTAGTGTAGTGAACAAGAACTCAAGTGGTGAAAAGCAATTTGCTGTTTAAAGCACAATCGCACAATGGTTTAACAAAGTGTGAAAAATATACATCAAATACATCATTCGCATATCATCTCTGAATTGTCTCTCATAAGCTTTATTGTTCCTTCATTCCTATTGTTATCTTAATTGCTTTCAGTTTCCTTCTCCTTGCTTTTCATACCAATCTTCTCAACCTTTTACTCACAAACATTGCACTTCCGACTGGTGCTACATACTACTTATATCTGCAAATATAAGCAGCATACAACACAACACATTAAAAGCAAAGTAAGATATCAGTAAAATCTACTGATATTTAGTGATTAAGAACGTTAAATTGATAAACACAGTGAGACTAAAATATAGAGATCATGATTTATACATTGTTAAAGGTAACTTCAAAGTCATTGATATTTCAAAGCACACAGCAATAACTGCAAGAGGATGACACAGCACTCTTCAACTCACTTCTAGATCATTATTTCTAACTACTAACAAGCATTCCCAACCTTAAATCATAGTTTAGATTGTAGGTTATAATCCTGAAATGCCGTGACCAGTGGAGTCCAATCTGTGTCGGGTGTGAGACAGTTTATCCACCACAGTTAAATGCTGAACGGTTGCGCAAGATCATGGATTGATTGAAGTTAAACTGTTGGATCTTGTGCGTCCTGGTAGATCACTAGGAACTGAGAAGACACCTTCGATTTTAGTGTTCTGTTCATAGAATTTTCAAAGTTTCAAACATGAACTGATCTTAGTTAGACTCCTACTAAAAACCTGGAAGTTTTGCATGGCCGTTTCGTCCTAATGTGAAACTTCTAAATGGTACCAACCCACAATTCCACTAACAGGAATCAAACTAAAGATCTTCGGCCTTGGGCACGAACGCTTAATCTCTAGACCACTGAGCTAGCATTCAACGATATTGATGTTATATCCCGATAAGAATAATGAATGGTAATTTCTGGGATCCGTTTATGGAACAATGCTATGATTATATTTTTATCGTGTAATTGTTATGTAACTAAACTGTTCATATTCACGTCCCTCTTATTATGAGTTTTATTTTGACCTATGAACTATTATTATACGACTTACCATTCTTGAATTATTCCCTGTCTGTTAATCACTACCTTTCTCATTCACAGCCACTTTTGGCTAAATATTTTACAAATGTACGTTGTCGTCTGTTTGATTGGTATATAAACCCTGTATGTTTGAAATAAATGATTCATATTGCAGAGGCTGAGATTGGTGTTCTGGACTCAACTGTCTGGGCTAGACGGAAAGCAGGATCAATCAGTACTCTAGGCTGCTCGCAGGTGTCTTATGCGTCACTAGTTCGGTCGATAGTTCGCTGCTCTCTGATTGACGGTATCATTGCGTTATACAATAAACAGGGCACACAGGTTCACAAGTTATAACAAGTGATATCTCATTTCAACGAAAACACGATATTACGCGACTCTTTTCAACTCTCTGCGGTAGATAACTATCTCACACATGACATGGTTGAAATCCACTGGTCACGATTTTCCATTAAAACTTTGAGCGCGAAACCTATAGTCCTGGATTCGATTATAACTGATTTGGGTTGAAACAATTTAGTTTCTAGTAAGAATACATATATATATGTAAGACTATGAAAGTAACTTACTTTCTTTCATAATTCAATTGATCACAACAAGATGTATTATAGTCTAGTGTAAATTGATTAGACCATAGAATAAGTGTACATAATGATTGACCAATTTCATAATTCATAATTGAATATAACCAATTATGGTTTTGAGAATAAAATAATCTAGAATACTTCATGAGAATACCATGTTTCAATAATGATGGTAATTTATTCATATCAAGACTAATCCATATATAAGATTCATTGGTTAATAAAGGATAATAGGGTTTAATGCATGAACTATAGTGAGAGAGAGAGAGAAAAAGAAGAAGAAAGGATAAGAATGAGCTTATTCATTAAGAAAATAATCGACGAGATTATCATTTATTGGACGAATGAATCAGATTCACGATAACAGATCTTGAATTTTGGCGCGAAATTCACTTATCCATTTGGTTAAATAGAAGTTTTGGCAATTATAGCTGATTTCACTAGTTGAAATCATGAGTCAATTGAAGCCAGACCACCATGGAAAAGCTGGTAGCACTGAATGGCTGTTTCGTCCTAGTATGGGACTCCTCAGCAGTGCATAGACACGATCCCGTCCCTCCCCCGCGAGATTCGAGCCCAGGACTTATCAGTTTCGCGCGCGAGCACTTAACCATTAGACCACTGAGCCGGCATCCAACGATGGTAATGTCCAACTTTAACCAATTCACGAAATTGCGCCACCGTCCACGATTATCTTCAGTGAGTTGATATCTCACAACAGACCTGGTTGAACTCCATTGATGTCAGTTTCTGATGAAAAACCTATATCTGATTCCTAACCCTAACTATCAACTGTAAAACATTTGGTCCTGGTTATTAGGTGGACACTTTCAAGGTCAGCCTAGAGTCGTTCAAAGGTCGTCCATAAATTATAATCTCACCAAATGATCTTGTATAGATTTTGTAAAAAATTATGAAAACTCAATGGGATACAATTAATCCATGACAATAAATAACCTGAGAAAAAGTCGAATAACACATAAACTGAAATAACTATATTACTAATGTCATTCAAAGTCTCTAACCATCGGTTGCTATCATCTCGCGGATCCCAACCAGGTAGTCTACACTTACCAACATGGCTCAGTCCACTTGTCAGTGACTTCATGGATTTGTGCTACGTTCTGATCTGGCCGCTCCTAGCTTTCTTCCAACCTGCTCCTACACCATAAAACATCGCACGTCGGGGCATTCGGTGGTTGGACATACGTAACACGTGTCCCACCCATCTCAACTGATGAAGTTTCACTACTTCATCAATTGATTTGCCATCCTTACCTAGTACCCGTTTCCTAACAACTGCATTACTCACTCGGTGGTCCCAGGATATACGAGCAATGCTTCGAAGACATCTCTGATCGAATAATAGTAACTTATGAATACCCTCTACTCGTACCGGTCATGCTTCACTGTCATAAAATAGGATGGAACGAACTGTTGCGCAGTTAACCCGTCCTTCGGTTGGTAGACGGATATCTTACCTACGCCATAAATGACGCAAGTTGGCAGAAGCTGGTCGAGTCTTCTGTATCCGTGCTGAGATTTCGTCACACACCAGACCACAAGGGCTGATGAGACTTCCAAGATAAGTGAAGCGGTCGACACATTCAACTACTTCACTCCCTATCATTAGTTCGGGTGTCGATGCAACCCTACCTATAAATACAAAATTATGATTCACAATCAAGTGAATGAACCTACATTTAATGTTATTTGATCACATTTAGTGAGACCTTGTAATTGTTAGGCTGAGTGATCTCAAATGGTTGTACTCGAACAGAGTTAGGCGAAGAAAAGCTTAAAATTTATCATCATAATACATACTGCGAAATTCAAAAGGAAATACTTCGACAGTTGGAAATATTTATTTAGTTACTTACTCTCTTAACGTAATTACATCAGAATTCATGCAACTCAAGTTACATTCAAATGTCGTCAGTCAGTCAGTAACAACTTAGAACTTTGCACGTACGTACATCAGTTCGAGTTGCCATATCACATTAGCACACAGATACAATTATCCATTCAAATCCCGTAGTGGTAGAGGTAGTAAGAGTATAAGCAGTAATCGGAAACAAATGTCCTACAATGTATGTGATGAGAAGAAAAGTCATAAAGGTTGATTAATACAACCAATGGTGCACATGGACTCCAGTATCCTGTGGGAACAAATGGCGTATGAACCAATCGTTGGTCACCGGCTACCATGGGACTGCATCTCCTCACGATGCTCCACTGCCTTGTGGATCAGACCTTTAGGTCAAAGGCTCGGGGTGTGGCCCCCTAAGGAAACCACGTGCTCCGGTTTGGGCACCCGGGCAGTATCACAGCCCTCACACATATCGAATGATTTATGTGGCGTATATGTATTTGGCGCCTCATTGTGCCAATATCTATGTGTTAAAATAATAATAATAGTACAATAGTGCTTTTAAATAAAGACTAATGATCATTATTTCTTGTAATGACAGCACCACACAAGATTTTTATTGTTTAAAAAACTGCTTAGAAATTAAAATGTTAACTTACCGATCAAATTTATACTTTTTAAGACTTTGAGCACAAATATGTGGATTATCATTAGATTGAATTTTTACACCTATCAACCAAAGGAAGGTAAAGGAATGTTGTTAAATTATAAACATTCATTGGGGAATAACAGCTATTATGTCAAGTCTATTCTATAAAGATTAATCTATCATGGTTGAGACAATGACTTCAATGACTTATGTCGTCGTTTAACTAAACATACAATACTGACCACTGATCCAAAATGTGAATAATTTCAATTATGATAGAATAACAAAGTATTTTCATAGTGTTGAACTGCTTAGATAGACGATATTATATGGTTGTAGACACATAGTAACTTATAAAGAGCATGAGGATAAAGTTTTCTAATGATCAATTGTATCTAAGATATACTAATCAAATTGGTCAGTAAAAGCCATGTATAAGAAACGGTCATGTGATCAACTTCTTGAAACATAACAAATACATTTTGTTTTGTTTGTCTGAATCATTCTATTGATGTTTAGGACTTTCCTGGAGTGAATATCAACTCTGGCATGCATGTACATTTATTTATTATTTATTTAAACACATAAACATTGGTACCAAACAGATATGCGTCCCATAAATTATTTGATTTATGTGAAGGCTGGGATACTGCCTGGGTGCCCAAACCGAAACAGGTGGTTTTCTTAGGGGCCCAGAGCCTTCGACCTAAAGGCCTAATCCACAAGACAGTGGAGCAACGTCAGGAGATGCATTACCATGGTGGTCGGTGATCAACAATAGGTTCATACATCATTTGTTTTCTTAGGATCCTGGAGACCATGTACACCACTGGTTTGGAATCAGGGTTTTTCAACTCACGTAGATGAACCCTCCGTATCCACCAACCCAGTTAAAGAGTCAGGCATTCGCTTTTCGTCCTCTCGACTTCGTAAAAAGCACCCCTGCCACGAGAAGCCAATGATTAGAACTTCGCTAACAGTGATTGCACGCACGTGGCCATGTCAGAGCCTTTCGAGAGGGTGAGCTGACTCTCCCCACTCTCGGTCGTACCATAGCTGACGAATCCCGAAATCGGACGAAACATGCGTTCTGAACTCCACTGCTATTCACCATCTATCTTTGCTTACAATACAAAAAAACAGTTGGGATATTTAAATTGATATGAGTTGAATCAAGTAAACAGTGTTGAGTAAGAAATTTAAAAAACGTAAATTCTCGCCAGCTTTAAAATGTCATCTCAAATTTTACGTCAATAATGTTATTTCAATCATAATTGGAGATAGTGGATGAATATGCGAAACAACGCTAAGGAAAATCATAAAGAGAGGTTAATTTTGAAAAGATTTGACAAGAACGAAGATCAAGAGGAGTTTCCATATTTCACATCATCACAGTGAGAAAGAGAATACGTTCAGATAAAAACCAAAGATGAAATAATATTACGATGAATGATATTAACTAAACAAAGAGGATGCCTTGGCGGAGTTTAAGTATTTATATTAAAAAAAGATAGAGATTGAATATATCATTGCAGCTATAATCGATTCTAAATCACATTAAATAAGGTCTCTAAACATGGGTCGTGATTGTTTCACAAACCCTAACAAGATGATTAATACTTCCCGAAATGCATTAATATAATAATTAATCACCTCACTGATTAATGTCGCGTATTAGTCTTCCAGTTTTCTCTTACATCAGTCATCACTGTACTCCAAGGAAGTTTGTGGCTAAACTTAAAAAGTTAATGACTTGAAAACACAATGAGACTTGAGAACTTCAAAACTAGTACAAAATTATTATCCAATTTACTAAGGTTCTAGAAAATTATTCGGTTGGTACATACTTTAACGCCTTTAAATCAAGTTAACTAGTTCTATCGAAAGACCAATGAAAGGTAGATTTTAAAAAATCAACAGACAAATTAACCTATAGATTATATTCCCCAAACAATCCCAATCAAGATACCGTTAAAAAAGAGGAAGGATATGACAGTTTTCTTAAAAAATTTAAATTGATTAATCCATCAAGTACTTGATTGTGAGGCACACTGTAAGTGCGAGGACTAATAATACTAAGTATACGCCAAATCGAAATAGTTATTAAGACGAGGCTCTTCAAGAGTATGCAATTGCGACCCCACCATGGATCGCGCCCAGGAACTTGATGTCTCATCCGGAACACTTAACCATTAGAATAAATGAGATAGAATCCAACTTTTCAGTGATAACCCAAATGAAACTGATTTGTAGCAAATACCACCCATAAATTAAATCCATCTCCACAAAATCTTATAAATTAAAATAAAGCGACTTACAACAATAAGGGCATACTTCATTTTTCTCAGTGAATGAATCGTAAAATCCCAAAATCAGTACAACTTCACTGTTGTTTGACTGATTGCCATATATTTCAGGTATTTTATAACCAAGTGAGTAAAAATCGGTGGTATTTGAAATTTTTGACTTTTGATTTCTCAGTAGACTGAGTTCAGTTAATTCAGAAGGAATAAACATAAAAGTTTTTCGCTTTGTTTTATCCATACATCTGCTGATAATTTAAAAGGAAATTGTAAAAATGTAGAACAGGTAATGAGGAATTCTAAGATATGTACATAAACGTTTTAGGATCACTTGGGAATTCATGTCGAACTTCAGTGGTTTTAAGATAAAAGTTTTGGTATGTTTATTTGACAAGTCTTATGATACAAGAGATCCTCAAAAAATGTTTTGTTCAAATTCAAGAATTTGTGAGTAGGATGAGCCGATAGTCTTTCATATATGAGGGTCAACTCGTAATTTGCCTCTTTAACCTGTATTTATCAATTCATATTATTTCTGTGAACAGAAGTATATTAGTCAGTTGGTGAACATTTTGTTCACGAAGATGAAGAAATACTGAAAAGCATGGTTAATGAGCGGTACCAGTTATTGCATAAGAGATCAATCACCTTGTCAGCATAGGGGAGTTGTTCTTATCATGAACTTTATATACGAAGTTTGACTATACATATGTATTTTACTCGCTTTTTTAATACTAAAGATCGGTCTTAGCCACTTTGTTAAGCTTTCGATCCAAACAGATCTATACTTCTTTCCATCTCGTTCTTCAATTAAATTTCATTTTCAAAACTTCCTTTGTCATGTTAAGCCACCGAATTCCATAATTATTATCATTTACCTAATTTGTATGGCATTTTATTTTAGCTTAAATAAGCCTTTAAATAATGATAACAGTTAATGTACACCTTTGCTTAAGTGCCATTATTACGTATCACTTCAAAAACATGTAGATATTATTGTACATCTAAAGATGAATTTGTAGAGGAGAGATTTCATGTATGAACCACATTCTTGTTTTTGACATTCAACAGGTTTTTAGTTCATTAAAAAACACACCAAAAGTATTGAGACTAAGAGTCATGTAAAATATGGGTGAATAAAGTAGTTAATAACAGAAGTTTTACAGTGAATTAACTATTAGAAAAAAGATTATCATAGTGAATTTTCTTGTGTTTTATCACACTAAGAAGTCGTATTGAAAACTAAGCAAACGAATTATTTCAAAACAATTTCAGAACTCGTACGACCCAAAATGTGGTGTGGCAACTCGAACTGATGTACGTACGTACGAAGTTCTACGTTGTTACTGACTGGCTGACTGACGACCCACAATACAAATAGTTATAGGGACTCCTATCGTTTTTAAAGCTTCGCAACATGTATTGATAGAAATCGCTCAAATTCGCTCAAATCTTTCTCTGAGATACGTTTCATTTAAATTTATCTATGACAAAGAAGGTAAAAGAAAAGGGACTTTTCCGTAAAGACTGATGTATATGGATCGAAGGAAGGCCATTTGCAGATTCGTTCAGAATGATGTTTAAAAAATGAAGTGTTTGCCCAGTAACTTGGCCCTTAACAAAAATCGCCCGAAATCTAAGTACTAACATATAGCAGTTTACGTCTAACCAGAAGGAACTTGAAGTATTTGGGAAGAGTGAAGACCAGTGAGAAAAACTGGGAAAGAATAGAACAAGGGAAAGACGAGATAGCGTCTAACTAAGTGTACGAGTGGTTATAAAAACAATCGATACTAATAGAAAACCACATGATATCAAACAAATCGACAACTTGTCGACAATATACGTGATTTCGAACGTACCACAAACCTTGAACTTAAACTCAGCGCTTACCTTTTTAGCTTTTAAATGCCTTCGAAAAAGCACGAGAGTCAGTTTCACTTTCATTTTGTAAAGACAGAATGCTGGGTGGCCTGTGTGACTCCTGACAATTATTATCTCTCAGTCGATCAATTTTTTAAAAAAGAGTCGGCAAATCGAGCTTTAGTCATGTGTTGAGGTAATCAATTCCTTTCGTTGATGATTCAATGAGAAAGATTATAGTCATTTGAAAAGTAATTTTTTCTAAGCCCATGAAACTTTTAAGAGGTTTCTCGAAAGCTTTGTGTTTTGGAATGCAATTGATGGTAATTTGGTTGCAAATTTATCACTAATTTATTTAGAAACTGTTGATGTCACAGGTATTCAGTGTTTGACAACGCTTCTACCAGTAACACCTTCTAATATATTTCGTTCCCGCCCAGAGAAATCAAAAGACAGAGTCGAGGAGATCGGAAGAGTATATTTGGCGATGACCAATATATCGGAATTCTCTGATCTAATCTGGCTAGCGATTGCAGGGGATGTTGAGCACGGCGTTACCACACGTGATCTGGTGCGGATGCCTGACCGAGCGCCTTCAGCTAGATGAGTCCACTAAAACATATGGTCAGCATCCAATGTCGAAAACTTAGTGCTATTTATTTTGGGGATTTATTTACCGCTACAGATCACTCCCCCCCTAGTGGGGCAGTGACGACCCTAAGACGTGGCCAGCCAGAAGTTTAAACCCAACGAGTTTGTCGTTGGTAAACACTCTTCTGATAGCTTACTAAATTTAGCAGCGTCTGGTCGTCTTTCCTTACTATATGGGACGGAGGTACAACATAGTAAAAAAAGAAAATGTACAATGAAAATTTCGGATCCTCGTAAACGTCATCGTTCTTTTCCAGCCGTCCTGGAAAAGAAAAAAGAAAATGTAAGTGCATGTCGAAGATACACTCGTATGTGCGTGAAAGCACAATGTCGGCGGAAAAAAAATGGAAAATAAACTCATGAACACGTAATAGCGTTAAAAAAAATTGTTTTTTTTTTGTTTTGTTTTTTTAAATAGAAATAAAAATATATAAGCATATTAAAATTGTTTTGTTTTTTTTTTTAAAAAAAAAATAATATAAAATTTCTAGAAGTGCCTTACGTGCAATAGTCGTTTAAATGTTCTGGAAATCTCACTCTTCTTCCAGAACGCGTCGTTTTAAGTTTATTTTCGGATACTGTCGAAGTATCATCGTGTGTGTTGGTTGTCGGGTGAGGTATTATAAGTGTCGGAGTCGTGTCGTTCAATTGTACCGAAGGAAAATCGACGTGGATAGGATTTCCTTCTAAATACGCTGCTTTCAAGCGATCGATGCTGATGCTATCCTTGGTTCCGTTCTTATCGACTATATAGTACTTAGATTCACGTTGAAGAACTTTGAAGGGTCCTTCGTATGCTGATTCGAATGGTCGTCGATGCGAGTCTCGACGAACGAAAACGTGTGTACTATGTCGTAAGTCAGGTTGAACGAAAACATCAGTTGATTGAGGTCGAGTGGAAGCAGGTTTAACTGAACGCATTGCGTTTGTAAGCCTGTTCGTGTAGGAGGTTAGATCCATGTTCATTGAAGAGGATGAAGGATCCACGAATTCTCCTGGAAGTCGAAATGTCGTACCATAAACGAGTTGGGACGCAGTGTATCCAATGTCAGCTTTCACTGCATTGCGGATACCTAGTAAGACGAGTGGAAGAGCGTCGGTCCACTGTGAAACGTTTGCAGCTGATAGCGAAGCTTTCAGTTGTCGGTGAAAACGTTCTACCAATCCGTTTGCTTGTGGATGGTAGGCGGTCGTTCGGAAGCGAGTGCTTCCTAAAAGAGTGGTCAGACGACGGAAAAGATCAGATTCGAATTGACGTCCGCGGTCTGTAGTAATGGTTGAAGGGCAGCCGAAGTTTGCTACCCATCGTTCGACGAAGGTGCGGGCCACTGTTTCAGCAGTGATGTCCTTGATAGGTACTGCTTCTGGCCATCGAGTGAAACGGTCAACGCAGGTTAAGAGATAAGAGTATCCATTTGAATCTGGTAAAGGTCCTACCAAATCCAAATGAACATGGTCGAAACGAGCATCGGGAGTTTTAAACGAGCCTAAGGGACATTTATTGTGTCTTATAACCTTAGATTTTTGGCAGCTTACACAGGAGCGTGCCCACTCCCTCACGTCTTTATTCATTCCAGGCCAGCAAAACCGTTCTGCTATGAGCTTGATGGTTGCACGAACACCTGGATGCGAAAGTTTGTGCAATGTGTTGAAGACATTGCGTCGATAATGTTTCGGCACGATTGGGCGATCCCTACCTGTAGATGTGTCACATAGTAAGGTTTCCTTACCTGTTCCCATCTGTTTGATGCGTAGTTTAAGTGTTGTGGACGATAACTCGTGCTGAAGATCACTGTCTTCTTTTTGAAGCTCGGCGAGTTTAAGAAGGTCGATTCCTTGGAAACTGTTCAAGGAAGTTATGCGAGATAAAGCGTCTGCAACTACATTGTTTGCTCCAGAGATGTGTTGAATATCTGAAGTAAACTGCGAAATGTAGTCCAGTTGTCGAGACTCACGTGGAGAGTACTTGTCAGAAGCAGAGCTTAACGAGAAAGTGAGCGGTTTATGGTCCGTGAAAAGAGTGAATTCACGACCTTCGATGTAGTGTTGGAAATGCCGTACAGCACAATACATAGCTAGGAGTTCCCTACCGAATGTGCTGTACCTCGATTCGGTGTCTAGCAACCTTCTAGAGAAAAAGGCCAAGGGTTGCCAGGAGTTGTTAACCCATTGTTGTAAGACTCCTCCGATTGCTGAGTCGGATGCGTCTACTGCGATGCTAATGGGTGCTCGGGTGTCCTGATGTGCGAGCATCGTTGCTTTAGCAATCAGTTCCTTAACTGTGGAGAATGCTTTTCGTGCGGTGTCGTCCAAATTAATGGATTTCGCATTTCCACGAAGTTGGTCGGTCAGAGGTTTCATAAGTAATGCGCATTTGGGTATGAAACGTCTATAGAAACTTACCAGGCCGTTAAACGTGCGCAATTGCTTGACGGTGGTCGGTTCTGGGTAATCCAGAATGGCCGCCACTTTGGTCCTAAGAGGTCGAATGCCTTGAGCATCGATAGTGTGTCCTAGGAAGTCTAACGAGTCGGTTCCGAATTGGCATTTCTGAACGTTTACAGTTATGCCATGTTTTTGAAGTCGTTCGAAAACATGATCCAGATGCTTGAGATGTGTTTCTCTGTCCGGACTTGCGATTAGACAGTCGTCAACATACGCGTGTACGAAATTGAGACCTCGAAAAACGTCGTCTATGAATCTTTGGAATGTTTGAGCAGCATTCCTTAGACCGAAAGGCATTCGCAAAAATTCATAGAGTCCGAAAGGAGTTATGATAGCCGTTTTCGGAATGTCGTCAGTAGCCATAGGGATTTGGTTATACGCTTTAACCAAGTCGATTTTCGAAAAAACAGTTGTACCTTTCAAGGTAGCTGTCAAATCGTGAATGTGAGGCAACGGGTAACGATCGGGAATGGTTTTCGCGTTCAATCGCCGATAGTCACCAGTTGGACGCCAATCGTTGCTGTCCTTTTTAGGGACCATGTGCAACGGAGATGCATATGGGCTACTTGACGGTCGTATGATTCCTAAGTCCATCATGTGATCGAATTCGTTTTTCGCTAACCTTAGCTTTTCCGGAGCTAGTCGTCGTGCTTTAGAGAATACAGGTGGTCCTGTAGTCGTGATGTGATGTGTAACAAAGCTGGTTACACACGGTAGTTTCGGTTGAGTTTGTTGTATCCCAGGGTACTTATCGAGTAGTGGTTGATAGAGTGGGTCTATCATATGTTTAACTGTGACTGGGGATACTCTACAACCAGTAAAAGAAGTTACGCAAACGGACAAATTAGTGTTTCCGTCTACTAGCCTCCGTTTGCGCGTGTCGATGATCAGATTGTGGTGTTGTAGAAGGTCCATACCAATGATTGGCATAGAAACATCTGCAACAACGAAAATCCAGTGGATGGGTTTGCGTAAACCCACGTTAAGGTAAACGTACCTTTTGCCATACGTAGCGATCGGTTTTCCGTTTGCCGCCTGTAAGTTTAGGGTCGATTCGTGTAGTCGGTCGTTAGGATTTGCTGGGAGAACGCTAACTTCTGCGCCAGTGTCGACGAGGTAACGAACTCTCGTTGTCACATCTGTGACGAATAACAGACGGCTTTGTTCGCCGGCTACGGTTGCCGTTAACGCGTGCCGGCTTGGAAGTTTCCCGAATTGCTTTTCGAATCAGTCGGTTTCGTGTTGGGAAAATTGCAGGGTTTTCTGCAATTTCTGGAAAACTTTCCATACTGGTTATGATACCAGCACCAGTCGGGGTTATCTGTCTCTCGTGGTCTAGAGACAGATCGCTTACGAGAAATGCTTCTACGTGGTGTGCGCGATCTCTTACGGTCGGTACGAAGACTAAGATAACGCGTGAGTGTGTGACATAAGTCGTTTATATCATTCTGAGTCGTTTGAGGTTTTTCTTTGACTGAGAATACCTCGGTAGTAGATTTCGTAATTTCTAATATGCGGTCGGCAGATGCAGCTAGCTCGTCTAAGGCATTGTTCTGGAACGAGACCAGAACTGCTTGCACCTGTTGGGGAAGTTTTGACAAGAAGAGTTGTTTGAATAGGCCTTCGTCGAAAGTTCTTGGGCCTATTACCTCTCTCATCCGTTGCAACATGTCCGTTGCAGAACCATGTTGCAGGTCGATATTGTTGAAGAGTTGATCTAACCTTTGTCGATCGGTTAGGTCTCCTCGTTTAAGAATCGAGCGTTTTAAGATTTCGTAAGGATCGGAAACATCACTAGTAAACATACTAGGTGTTACGTACCTGTGGAATTCGCGCGGTAGTGCCTTGACTACTGCGAGGAATTGTGCACGTGTGTCGATCACGCCGTGCTCGGAGAAGTCGGCTTCAGCGTAGCAAAACCAGGCTTCGATGTTGTCGGGCCAGAAAGGCATCAGTTGAAACGAAGGCGGGGACAAAGTCTTAAGCTTGAGTACTTTAGGTGTCTGTTCAGTCATGATGAAGTATGAAGTACGATAATGAACGAGGGGAAAATATATATATCCAGGAAAAAACACGAAAAAAAATCACAATGTTTTAAAAAAATAAAAAAATAAGGCAATGATATATAAAAATCCCAAAAAGGAACAGACTCACAGTTGCAATTAGGTGTACCAGATCACGTCGGTTTCACCAATGTTGATGTCACAGGTATTCAGTGTTTGACAACGCTTCTACCAGTAACACCTTCTAATATATTTCGTTCCCGCCCAGAGAAATCAAAAGACAGAGTCGAGGAGATCGGAAGAGTATATTTGGCGATGACCAATATATCGGAATTCTCTGATCTAATCTGGCTAGCGATTGCAGGGGATGTTGAGCACGGCGTTACCACACGTGATCTGGTGCGGATGCCTGACCGAGCGCCTTCAGCTAGATGAGTCCACTAAAACATATGGTCAGCATCCAATGTCGAAAACTTAGTGCTATTTATTTTGGGGATTTATTTACCGCTACAAAACTGTTGTCAAGTCGCCTCTTGTTCGTCTATAGGACAAGAGAAATATATTCAGTTTAGCTAGTTCAGCATCATACGGGAGCTAAACTGTGGTCCTGTGAACCTTTTTCAAAAGCTCACACTCTCGTTTAATGTGAGCGGTAGCTGCTTGTATGCAGAAATCAAAGTTAAGCATGCACGAATGCTATATACAAAGTCAAAAGCGTTTTAGCATCGACATGCATTCTATCGTTCTGCACATATTGACATCGTCAGTATGTAACAAAATCGATGATGATAGGAAACTGGGAAAATCATTTACACACAAGAAGAACAACACTCTACTGACTTAATCCTGAGGCACTCCGACAAGCAGCTCTCCAGCTAGACAACTTTGAGTTCACCCATACAATTTGTCGCCGTCCAAGTAAGAAATCCCTTAACCACAGCAATAAACTGACTTTAACCCCGATATTACTTTGTTTCTATAGCATTTGGCTAAGAATAAATTTGTCAAAAGCCTTGCTGAAGTCACCGAGAGCTAGTTCTATAAGTAAATTTTGGTATTTAAAAGCGCACCAAATTTCACGGTCTATCAGTAAGTTGGTAAGACAGGAATAACCTGTTCTAAAGCTATGCTGATTTTCAGAAAAAGTCATGTTTTCGGCAAAATACTTAGATAGCTCTTTCCGAATAATCTGCTTTAACATTTTAACAATCACGCTGGTGAAGCTTGAAGACCGTTTGTTCTCATCTTCGTGTTTGGGCACTGTTTAAAAATTAGGAATTACTGTGGTATTCTTCCAATCTCCTGGTAATCGAACATGGGTTGTAGATAGACCAAAACATATGCTCAAGAGATTTGCGACGAAATCAACTGTTTCTTCTGGTAACCAAGAAGGCATTTCGTCGTGTCCCATAGATTTGCTTACATCAAGCTCATTAAGCAGACCAAAGGCATCGAGTAATTTAGTGGTCACAGGATACAGTGTGTCTGAGGGGGTGCTTGTATGAACTGAATGGAAGAACGTCTGTACGTTATATACTTTGCTGAAGTAGTTTGAGAATACCTGAGATCTACCATTGTCGCTACCAATAATTAGGAAGTACTCTTATCACCTCATAATATTGGAGTATTTCCTCTCGTCTTAGTCCTTTGGTTTATGTACGAATATGAGTGTTTAAGGCATTTTATAGGTTCTTTAACCGAGATTTCATGCAGCTTTTAAGACTTGCGGGCATGCGAGGCAAAATTAGTAGGAATATCTGTAAAGAATCAGTTACTCCTCAATATTATTCACTAAGGTGTGGAATAATTGGTTACCCAATTGCATGCTCCTTTAATGAGCCTAATATACTTGAAACATAGTAAATACTCATTCAAATTCGCAATTACATGACGACTCGTCATTACAGATTGCAGCAATTTTTCAGGTAGACTGATTCAAAGCTCAAATATTTATATGACAGTTATATGCATGACTACAATATTGTCAGTTATACTGTATAGCAACTATCCATTTATGTATATTCTAAACACATGTTTGCTTTTTTTATTTCAGTTTTTCTATATTGTTCTATGTTCACCTAGACTATAAATAAATTGAGGAAGCAGTACACTGGCCAAACTGTGTTGTTATAACTACGAATACTGCTACATTTCTCGTTCATTTCAAATAGTTCGTCTAACAAGCTGATTGCCTGAATGTACGAATCCTCAAAATATTTAGCGCTGAAATTTCGATTTCATGTAATCACTAACAACACTGATTAAAAGCAAAAGGTTATGAGCTAAACAGTATGTATAGTTCGATCGAGTCAGACGCTCCAACAAATCTGTACTTTGCAGCTTTATGGGCAATGTATTACCTGGATTTTTGGACATTCTTACATAAAGGATAGGGTTAAGACGTTTTAATACTCCAGATGCTGTTTAGGTCATCTGTAATCCTGCGAAACGACAATCGTCAATTTCTAAAAGCTTTTTTAGACCATGTTCAAGATAATAAACTTCTACTTTGGAAAGCTGATTGCTGGCTATTTAATGGCCTGTTGGACCTTATTAACGCTACGAAAAGCCAATGCAAGTCGATCAGTCGTTGGAACGATTTCACCTGTACAAAAGCGACCATATCCCAACTTTATTTTTGTATGAATGGAAAACCCTTCTAGTAAGAGTTCGCCTGTTCTCAAGCAACAGCAATTAAGCCGTAGAGCCTGTAATCAATGTTAGTGAGCTCAATTTACATAAATATCGCATGGTGCAATTTCACGAAAAATCCCAGTTCGTATATATCATGCATATCATTGTTTTGACGGTGACAGTTCTTATTAGTCTTTCTTTCCTTTACGATTTTGGTTCTCTTTGTAC